GTGCCTGCTCGCCTCGAATCAGGGACCCCTTCAGCCCGCGTCTACCAAAGACGCTTTTAGGCTACTGATACTGTTTCGCGCGCGCTGCCATAGGGCATCGCCACTTGAAGGCAGAGGACCTTCTACGCATCCATTCGTGAGGATTGGAAAAGCTGAGAGCACCAAGAAGATCGACTTCGACTTGTTTTCGCTTCCTTGCATTTTTGTAGGTTGGTCGCTTTCGCTTTGCTGCCAATTCTCGATACGAGAGTTCAAGGCACTGTGCACAGGCGGCGCACACAACGTACAGTTTACAGCACGTTGCGTGCGTTCAGAGCAGGGACTCACCTCGTCGAGTAACGGCCTGCAACTCTCACCTTGGGCGACTTGGTTGGTTTGTGTTTTTGGGATTGTTTAGAACCCACAAGAATTCCGACAGCGAGTGAGCCATGGTGTTGACGCAGGATGAACTGCGAGAGTTGCGGAGGCTGCAGTTGAAGGCCAATGAGCCAGATGAGGGACATGGCGCGGCGACTTCGCCCAGCAAAGTTCAGCGAGGTGGCAATAGCAAACTGGCAAGCAGCTCGATGACTGATGCATCGAAGCGACGCCTGGATTGTGACGCATTTGAAGAGTTCGAGATCATTCAGGGTGCAAAAGATGATTGGCTACATTGCGAGCCATGTATGATGATCAGGATGAGAACATTGAGCTCCCGCCAGAATGCAAATCGGCAGAGCAGTGGGGCGCCGCAAAAGTGGTTTTGGAGAAGTACAAAAAGGAAGAGCTTTGCTATGAGAGGCTGGTGCTAATGAGCATCAATGGAGATGTGGAGGCCATGAAGGACTGCCTCTTCATCAAGAGGAAGTTTGGAGAATCGAAGGCCAAGACGCAGGCACCTGATTTGGCACGCTATCTGCGCCGAATCAAGTTTGAGGATGATGCGGTCGAGAAGGCCAGATTTGTGAGGACCTTTGCGCGCTAGAATGAGGAGATATGGAATGTGGCTTGGGAAGATTGCCATGGGATGCAGTGAGCCCGGGCCAGCAGTAAAAAAAGAAAACGATAGGTACAACCTCCTTGGCCGAAGGCAAAGGTCATGTATAGGCGACTTCAATCCAACAGGGAGAAAGGTTTTGGACAGTGTCCTTTTGAGGACGCAGAAATTTGTTTGAAGTTGAAGGTCTTTGTGACCTAGAAAATCGACGAATGAGGTCTTGGTGACCCTTGAAAGCAACGTAAAGTTGCATCGCAATGTGTGCAGAGCTTTTTGTGCATGATGACATGCAGTTTTGATGTAAGATGTGGCATCTTTACCACAAAAGTCTGTTTTTGAGGCTTGAAGCAAACTTCACGGCACTTGAACCATGTTTGGCTCGAGTTCAAGTACAAAGAGAACAGGACAACGACACCGACACGTCGTTCTCGTCTGAGAAAGAGAAAACAGAGGACCGTGAAAGCTTGGTGGTTGCTGTGTCGCGTGTACCCGACACACACACGCGCTTGTTTGGTAAGCGCATGCACGTGTATCCGTCTCGTTGTAAGCTAGGACGCTTAACCTTTGTAGAGGTCGCAGGTTTGAGGTTGCCTTCGTTAACCTTGCGCGTAGTTAATTGACGGCCGCGCTAGAGGTTAGGAGTTTCCCAAAATGTCAGACATTGTGGCCAGCCAGCAAGGTAGGTTGATCTCTTTTCTCCAATCCACAAAGACTGGAAAAAGGGATGCCCCACAGCGCCGCAGCACTTGTGGTGAAGGGGTTCAGCGGGAAGCAACGCAGGAGCTGCAGTGGCACTAGCCATTCACCACTTGTGGGCGGAATGCCAGCTGACTGTCAGACTGGGCGCAATCGCATTGCAGCGTCTTGCTGCCTTGGTCTCACAGCTGAGTCAGGTACAGACGCCCCTTCGATGAACAGGTTGTCGGGTTGTCGGCAGATTCCGTTTCCAGCAAGTTTTCGCAAAACAGGAGCAACTGATGCACTGGAGTCTTCCGCCAACATGTGTGTTGTGTCCCCAAGCCTCGAGATGCCGTCTCCACTGACCACCTGTTGCAAAGGCGACCATGATCCAGGATGCAAAACCACTGCCCATGTGGGGGAAGGGGCTGTCCAGCGTGCTTCCTCCTGCCACCATCCCGTTTTTAATCAAAATAATCTTTATAATAGTAATTTTACCAAATTAATTATATAGTAATAGAAACTAATATAATTAAGTCTTCATATCCAGAAATATAGTTTTCATTATCATTATTTCTAAATATCGAATATGGAAAGCAATTATATTCTCGTTTCATCCTAATAATAAATATCATTAAAGTCAAAACCTTTCAAATATCTATAAATAAATCGCTGCATTTTCATAAACTCATTCACCTAATAATCTTCCTCCCACCAAAGGATTATTATTTCTTCGAGTCGGCGTAAATGATTGGCCGAAGATGAAAAAACATCATTTTCAACAACTTACAAGTCGACTTCTATCTAGATAATCTATTTTTATTCCTTTGTCGATCCGATTCTTTTCAATATCATCCGGCCGGTAATTTCTTCAGGGAGATTAGTTGTTAATTTATTATTTATGTAAGGATTTAATCGGATTCTAATCCATTTTTTTTCCAAGACCTCAAAAAAGATTTTTCATAAAAGAGCCTCCATTACTAAAAGCATATTCACAACCGTTTCTTCCTATGAGCTCGAACTTCTAAACATGTCCAGTATGGACCTGGGACCTTCAGCGAAGGGGGGCTTCACCGAAGGCGAAAGGGGGGGGATCCTTCGACGAAGACCCCCCGAAGGGGGGCTTAAGGTTCGCCGAAGGCGTAAGGTCTTCGGTCGAAGGGGGCTTAAGGGGGGGCTTAGGGGGGGAACTGAGGGGGGGGCTTGAGGGGGGGGCTTAACGGGGGGCTTAAAGAGGGCGCCTTAAGGGGGGGCCTTGAGGGGAGCTTCGCCGGGAACAATTGGGGGAAAGGGGGCCGGAGAAAGGGAACTGGATATGTGGCTTGGGGATAGGGACTTGCGGAGAGGGAACTGAGGAGAGGATTTCGGGAAAGGAAAGCACTCCTTCGTGGTGCACCTCTTTTTGGATGCTCGGAAATGTTCTAGAGGCAGCCAAAGCAGATTGGATAGAAATTACCCCTCAGAAGCGGCGAAACGGCACTGAGGGGGTACAGGGTATCTTGGCTTTCTTGGCTGATGGCTGAAATCCTTTGCCCCTGAAGACCAGAGATGGTGGGTGCGGTGAGATGTTGGGTGCCCCCACGCCAGCCACGTCGGATTTAAGGGCTTACGCCCGACGGCCGGCCAGGGGCGTCAAGTCAGGGGGCTGGGGGGCGAAAGCCGCGGTCGTGGCTGTTGTTGTGGTTGTTGGTGATGGTGTTGTTCAACATAGCCCCAAGATGGGCCAAGATAACGCCAAGATGGGGCAACGTAGTGCCAGCATCGGCCAAACATCCGCCCATGATGCAGATAAAGCACCCCGGTGCGGCACGCATTTCCAGCATTATTTGGGCCTATGTTGGGCTATGTTGACCCATCGTGAGCAACAAGCGCGGAAAAATAATGTCAAAAACCCAGGCGTTTCTGGGGCCCGGACCTGGGGGCGGCTACGCTTTCTGCTTCGCAGAAGGAGAGCTCCCCTGGAGGGACACGGCCCTGACGGGGCTCACGCCCCTGGCCGGACTTGTGAGTTCGACCCCATGTGCTGACCCAGTATATCAAAGACAGTGATCCACTGCCTCAGCCTGGTGGCATGTGACCTCTTCCAGGAGGATATGATTGGTCGTACCCTTGGTGCGATCGATGTGTTTGGTAAACGTTGCCTTGGCTAAAAGCTCGGGATGTGTCATGAAGGATTTTTTTGGGCAAACAAACATCACATGGGTAAAGTGCTTGCATCAAATGACGTCAAGCACACAAGCCAAGTGCATTGCAGCCACAACATGAATACTATTGCTTTGATACCGTAATCCCGCTTGGGCAGTCTAACGCAAGGGTGTTGCAAAACTTTCAACAAAAACTTGCAGGAATTGTTTTTTTGTGCGCATGTGTTTCGTGTTTGGACACCAAATCCAGCCAATGATGCCAATAGTGCGGGTTCAAGTTTCTGTATTCTTGGCATTATCTAGTGTATTTTTTTGCTGGCCCTCCTCTCCTGTATGCGTATATAGCTCAAAAGACATCAGCTGAAGATCTCAGACGCGTTTGCTTTTCCCAACCGCACACAGCAAATGTCGACACCACATGGTATCGTCAAGAAGGGAATTGTATCGTCAAGAAGGCTTTGCAGCCTGCGACCGCCGAGGGAAACCGTTTTTCCCGCTGCTCCAACTGCTCCAAGCTTCAAGTCGAAACAGAATTGAAGATAATGTAGACTCTTGATTAAAGCCCCCTTGGCATTGAGTGTCTTCAATGTCACACTCTTACACTAAAGAGCCAGGCCAGGGCCAACACGTAGAGCTCTAGTGCTCGGAATACATGCTGTGGAAAAGATGTCCTTGTGTTGTGCAGCGCAGCGTCCGGAAGTTTTGCAGAGCTGCCTTTGCGATCAATGATCCCAAGGCTTTGTGGTGCTTCAAGTTTTTGACATGCTTGAACTTCTTCAGCTGAAACTTGTGAGTGGTGCACTGTTTGCACCAAGGGTGCCTTTGGGCACTCTTTTGTTTCAGGCGCTTCAAGAACTACAACATGAGTTCGGGCGATATGAAGAAGCTCTTTGCCAAAACAACGTGAAGGAGCGCGAAAAAATACGAGGAACGTGGCTCTCTTCCCGTGCAGCCGTGGGTTGTGGTCTCAAATTCAATTTTGCAGCCATCGTTATGTTGAGGAACTGGACCTTTTGTTCCACAAAAGCCCTGAGACCGTCCGCTATGGAGTTTCGGAGAATCTGTATGGCTACGAGGCGCGTTCCAGCCGGGCCGGATTGGTGTGCAAACACCAGCACTGCTTCATGAAAGGATTTACTGATTGACATGAGTGACTGCAAGGTCCTAGCGGTCCTAGTGGTTTTTTTTCCATGTGTTGAGTTGGATCCGGTTGGTCCTTCTGCCAGGATGGGCCAGCTGGGTGTTGGGCGCAGCCTCCCCCAAGTGCTGGTCACCCCTCTTCCCGACCAGGCCATCCAGGCCTTTCGCGGCGCGCGTGCTCCGCCGGGGCAGCGGGAGATCTTGAGATCGGCGTTGACCACCTATGGAAGCGACCTGGGAGTGACTCGCTTGGGAGCTCCGCGCGATGCGGTGTGTGGGGATTGTTTGGTTGTAAGACGAGCGTGTTTCAAACGGGGGTCGTTGGACAGTGCTCTAACAAAGGAGGTTGGTGTCTGTGACTGGTCGTTGGGATTGTGAGATACTGTTGAACATCAATTTGCTTTCAGTTCCTTTACATGTAAAAAAACATCTCTGCATTGTGGAATCTTGGCTCATCAACATCCATTGGCAATTGGCTTTCAATTCCGTTTTGGGCTCGTCCCAACCTTGGCTCATCGAATCGACCGATGCGATCGACGTGCCTGCACGTGAAGCACGTGAAGCACGTCACCAGGTGACTCACATCGAGTTCCAGCGCGATGGGAGTCGCAGAGTGGGTCGACAAACCCAGACATGGCTTCGAAGCTTGGTGGGGAGGACGCTGGAATCCGCTGTGTCTGGCGTGGACCGGGTCTAGTGCCATTTGTAAACCTGTAACAGAAAGGGTAAACCAGAAAAGGCCTGCAACTTTTCACCATCATCATCCACTGGGCCCTGGCAATAGGTTAGACCCATCATGTGTATATACATAGGGTGTCTCTGTGGCTGCGTAGAGGGGTTGGAGTTCTCTAAACCTTCCAGGAGGTCGGAACGCCTGGCATGGTCTCCTATTTTAATGCACACCCATTTGTCGTCTCTACTTTTGTTTGGTGAAGAGCTGCTATTTTTTGGTTCGACGAAACAATTTCAAGGAAGGATGAGCATGTTTTCTTGAACATGTCTTTCTTTGTTGTGTGTACTTCTTTGTTCTGGGCTGTCTTTTTGGTTTCGTTCGAAGAAGATGCCAGTGGACGGGAGGATTGAATCCTCATGCTTTTCTGGAGGTTTTTGCTTTCACCGAGGAACCGCTGAGGGATGGAAAGTGATTTCAGCACATGTATCCATGATGGAAGAAGCTACCTAGCTGGACCTAGCTGGACCTAGCTGGACCTAGAGTCGGTCCAAAGAGACCTGTGGCTTTGATAACCATTTTCGGGAAAAGAAAGGAGGCTCTGAAGCTGACTTGCTTGATCCGAGCATCATGTCAGGACAAGAAAGCTAGGCAGCTAGACTTGCTCAGACATGAATTCATCGTGGCCACTCATTTCCCTCCACGCCTTTCGTGCTGCGGTGTGCGACACGTTGTGCGACACGGTGTCTCCAATGTTTGGTGAACCGCAGTTGTTCAAGCTGAATCGTGAACAGCTGCGGAGACAAAACAAGTTCCCAAAACCTAGGAGTACTGCACATGCTCTTAACTCTTGGCCAGACTTTGGGAGCTTCAATCTTCCGTGAGCGACGTGTGAAGACGGTAGCGTCCTAGCGTCCTAGTCAGGACGAGGCGCCATTAATGAACATGGCTCCTTGCAGAGATGCGAGGCCCGAGATATGTGGGTTCCACCTTGACATTTCGATTGCCGCTGCCCCTCAGTCGACAGCCCTGTTAGCGCCTGAAGTGATGAGATGCTGCACAAGGCTTCCTGATTGGAAGATCCAATCAGGATCAAGCAAAACACAACAAAGATGGACTCCACGAATCCAGAATCGATTTTTTCATGTTTACTGCCTGAGAAAAACCATTGCTCTCCGCGCGTTCTTCCAGGAGAGCTATGTCTGTTTGTGGGTTCTTCCCAGTGGGAAAGCATCATCGAGGCGCCAGTGCCGGGGCGGCGAGTCCGGCGCGCGACGACCGGTGCGGGCCGCGAGGCCACCTGGGCGAGCCACTTCACGACCTTTCTTTGGCCGGATGCGGTCGGCGTCCAGGCCGAAGCATCCAATTGTTGGGGGAGCCCAGAGCCAGCCGGTCGTGTCCGACGACGACGGCCAGTCGTGTCCGGTCCGGCTCACGAAGGACGCCGCCTGACAACGCATTGGGAGTGATTTTGCGTGTGTTTCGTCGTCGAAAGGGGTGGGTTTTCGTGGGGATCGACGGACTTCGATCTCTTTGGGGGGAGTCAAACAGTCAAACAAAGGAACAGTTCGAGATCTCCAAGCATGTGGACCTTCGGAATGAGGCAGTCTTACAAACATGTTTGACCGATCCAGGCACAAACAAGCTCCCCAGGCTGAGCCTGGAAGCGGTCCCAGGAGCGTGCGCACACGTCGGTGAGCACTAATGTGAGCACCATGAGTGCAATGTCAAGAGACTGATCCAGGAATCACAAAGGGGTGGTGTTTGGTCCCTAAGTGAGTGGATAATGGGCACCCCTAACCTCCATTAAGCACCCCTTTGTGACTGCTGGATATTTATTCAATTTATTCATGCAATGCCAGGCCTCAGGCCTGGTCTGAACACATTCCACGTCTGACGCGAACCGTCTTCAGACGCGGTTCCTCTGCGCTCCGAAGACGCGACGCGAGACGTTCGAAGGAAGCGCGACCCGCTGCCGCAGGAGTTTCGGCAGATCAGCCGCATTTTCAGGCGTTGAGCCTCTGGTCCACATTGGCTCGGAGGTGCAATGTTTGAGCTTTTTGACATGATAGCAGATAGCAAGAGATGGGTGTGTATTCAAATAGGGAGACCTCCCAAAGACCCCAAGGAAGAAAAGAAAGTAGACCAACACCCATTGGTTGGGGATCTCCCTATTAAAAGTCACACCCAGATAGATGCCAAGGCCTTCCGGTTGTTTTGGCTAAATGCTGAGAAAGCTGGCAAAGTGACCAGCTCTGAATGTATCAGGCTCCTTACTCCGAATGTCTCCAGGAGCCACCATCTCGCACAACCGAAGCATCAGCCACCATCTCGCCACGTGGTTGTTTTCTTCTCAGGAGCGAAGATCCACTGAGCCAATGTTACTGGCTGATGCACGTGGATGGCAGGCCAGGTCGTGCTCGCGCTGGCACACACACCTCACCACCTCACTCTTCCTACCCACCTCAGCCAACAGCGATTGTTTGATCCAGGAGCTACATCAACATCCCTCGCATTGCTGAACGACTGGACTGTGTGGCAGGTTTGCAGCCGGAGTGCCCTGAAAGGAAGTTGGGGTTGGAAGGTTTGCTTTTGATATTTGGTACGCTCAACCGATGCGGTGCACCTCGATTCTCGCTGTGTTTTGTTGTTTGGCCGCTTTGGCCTTCCAACTTTTGGGTTGCGCAGAACTGCAACCGTTCGCCACAAACGGAGAAATCCAGAGGTACTACGCTCTGAGCGCCATGATCGGAGAGTCCCGGGTGGGCCTGGCAGATGAGTCCACCGGGTACGTCTTCGGTACCGTGGCGAGCAGCGTTTGAGCAGACGTTTGAGCAGATGTGGAATATTTTTTGGTGGCAAATTTGCAGTGAAGCCTTGGAAGGGGACAGGACCTAATTGAGTGCACTCAACCACGTCTTGGTTGACCTGTCAGAAGCGCCAAGGTCGCAAGCTCTTGTTTCACCTGCATTCCTCTGGCTGGGCTTCGAGCTTAGGAGAGTTTGCACGTGTTCCCTGTTCTTTTCACTTGTGATGAGGTGGAGAAGTGTGCGAGGGAGTTCTCCAACAGCGAAGATGCCCAAGGACCTGCAGAAGCTCGTAGAGTCAATAGATTTCCTGTGTCTCTGTATGTCAGCTGAGTGTTGAGAACTGCCCACGTTTCATTTTTTTAGGATTTGGCTGGACATGGCCCTCAGGCTGACTGGATTTCGTGTTTCAAAAAAACACTGCGGTTCCGCAGTCCACTTGGCTGGAAGTTGCTCCACAAAACGGCAGGTTTCTATGTTTCTCTTTGCCTTTGGTGGCATCAGCGCTTAAGGCCTCTCCTCCCCCCCACGTTCGCCGGATTCCCTCGCGCCTCTCGCTGGATGCGCTCGCGCGCCTCGCTGGATTCCCGGATGGTGGCAGGTCCCAGCGGCTGGGCGACCCGCTGCAAGAAGTCCTCACTCGCTCGCTGCCTCGGGGCAGGCGCCGCGCGCCCGCGCCCCCGCGCCCGCGGGGGATGGCCGTCGGCGACGTGGGAAGAAACCCCGACTGGATCGGATCGACGGTGGAGCGACGACATCCGACGGCCGCAGCGGAGAAGACGTGGTTCGGATGGACGCCGGCGCCCCTTGTCTTCCGAGGGACAGTCCACTCCATCGGCTGCGCAGTCGGGAGCTTTGGTTGCCAAGATCGGGAGCTTTGCCGCGTGGGCGAGTTGATGCAACATGTGTTTTTGGGTTGTCAATTGCCAAATGTGTGACCCAACCCGCCTGGTCCTGTGTTACACACATTTCACAGTCTCAGACGTCTTTTTTCCGCAGCCTTCGAGATCTTCTGGTCGAGATCGTGCCGTGGTCCCGAATGGGTTGTTCGAGGTCTACACCCCTCTGGGCATTGTATCTTGTGTGCTGCGGCCAGCTCTCCGTCCAGCCTCCGTGAGGTGCCAGACGGCGCGAGTTTCGCGCCGCGCCCGCGCGAAACTTCGATGCGATGCCGGTGGGTGAAGCCATTGACACCAAAACAACTCCGAAAGAAGTCAGAGGACGTAGGCTTTTGATTAATAACACTCCTTTTGAATTGAACAACCTCTTTACATGGGGCGGTTATTATGTTACATCCGTGGTGTTGTATCCACTCACCGGCACACACACACAACGATGCAGAATGGGCTTTGTCAAAGACAAGCATGATGCAAGAGATTCTATGGCTTCTTACAACACTCCTTGTACCAAACAGTTAAACAATTCAACCAGGCCTATGTTGAGTTTATTGTGGATTTCCAGCAGTTTCAAGGACCCAAAACAACACAGGACCCGACCTGGCTACAGGACCCCAGTGCTTGCTAGGCCCTGGCAATGCTGCCGTTGTTCATCGAACGAAGCCCGAGTCCAGCGTTCGGCTCGCTTCGCAGATCCATCGTCGTGTGCAGATCGCCAGCCCGGGGGAGAAGGTGCAAGCCCGATCTGTGGAGCCAGGGGGCGAAGACGGGTGATTGATCCTCTGATCCAAGAGTGGTATAGCGGTATAGTAAAAACACACACACACACAGATATATATATATATATATACGGGCTCGTGAACTTTTCGGGGCCCCCTGGGAAGCAATTCATGTTCAATCATCTGATCCAAATGTATCAAACCCTTCAACTATTCATCTGATCCAACTATATCATCTGATCCAACTAGTTCATCTGTGTACACATATATCCTTTGCAAACATATTCACTATGTCCAAAGAAGCTTGAATTTAGCTCCTGGCATTTCTGGCCAGTGGTCTCGTCAAGCGCAAGATGTTCTCGACACGTGGCTCTTGAAAGATTTGAAGGGCGTGCAGAAAAGGAATATGTTGGCATTGGAGGACAAACCACCTGCTGAAAGTTCCTGCTCAAAAGCCGTTGGCAACATCGTTGAGAGCTCAGAAGCCCTGGACTCACAGCCAAAGGATGAGGATGCCAACATCTTTGAGGACCATCACTCAGAAGCCCTGGACTCACAGCCAAATGATGACAATATGATGGACGAGGATTGCGTCAAGGAGACAACCCCCAAGGATGGCAAGGCCAAGGTCTCATCTTCATCTTCTTCGTCTTCTACCTCCTCTTCCTCGTCCTCTGACCGTACTAAGCGCCGCAAGGTAGAACTGCAGGCTGCATTGACACATCTGAAGAACTTACAAGAAGTGCACCACCTTGAAGACATGGGCGGTTGTCTGCAAATGATTAAATCCGCCATGCAGAATGTCAATGCAGCTTTGCGCTTGTAGATAGCATGAACCTCCTCTGGCATGAACCTGGGCGTATGGCGTATGAAAGATTTCATGCAGTCTATGTGCAATGTTTTTGTGGAAGTATATGCATATATATATATATGGGCGCGTTTCATGGTATTATATCTTATCCATTACTTCTCAGGGGGCCCCGAAAAGCACGCGCGCCCATATATACATATGCCTGATTTTCTCGTTTTGGCGCTCACAAGTCATGTCAAATCATGGGTAGAAAAAGGTCGATTTGGATCCCCATTCGGGTGACTGGCTGCACGGCGTTTCACGCCGTGGCCGTTGCAGGATGTGGCACGGGATTCTTTGAGGGCCGAGGCTGTGA